GTGCTCGACACTGGTGGATCTTCCTTTTTGTGAATATTTGAAGCCATAGCCATTCTTCTGGGTAGGGCCCTCGATCTGTGACAAGACATTCGCCTTCATTTGCACCTGCTTGGGTGTTTGGGGTTGAGCGGCATCTGCCTTCTCCTCGGCTTGAGACTTTTCGAACCATTCGATAACTTCTGAGCGGCTTGGAGGAACAGGGGCAAACTCCCAAAACTTAGAGGTAGAGAACTCTCGCAGCTGCTGGTCAACCACCTCTTGTTCAATCTTGTCTCTCGGTGGAGTATATTCCCCTAGCATAGCCATAGACCGCCCTGACGGATCAAAGTCGGGGAGGTAGTGTATACCACTACCTTCTAAGCGGAATTCCCTACCTGCGTAATCCCTCGCACGGTCAGGCACATCACTCTCATCGCTGTAGTGCGGTTTCTGATAAATAACGGACGGATAATCATAGCAATGAGGTGTCGAAGCGACCTCACTAGTACTGGGAGAGAAATTTCGCAAGAAACAAATGCGAGCATTCATAGGCACATCAAAGGCAGCATAGAATCCTGATGCTATTTTCAAAATCTGCGGATCTAGGCCAGCATCAGGACCTATTACAGTGACTGATGACTGCGGTTGTGATGGGTTGTTCTCCGCTCTGATATCTTTCGAAACAACTTCTGGCCCAGAACTGGCCAAATCTTTTTCTAGTTCTCTAAGTTCCTTGGAAGAAGGCGCACCGTCCTGGCTGAAGCGCAAGATTGTCATAGGATTATTAGGGTCTTTGACAACCGGAAAGTTGAGCCTTCCACTCTGTTCAGGCCTCTTAGAGCGGACAGTTGACTGAGATAGCTTTTTTTGTGAGGATTTTCCCCTTACAACTGCATCTGCATCCGACGTGTTGGCGGTATCTTCGATTTTAGGGGTTGTACTGTTGACTTGAACTTCAGCTATCCGAGACTTCCGCGGCCTACCTAACATCTGCGATGGCGTTTCATCGAAGAATCTTTTCCGCTTGCGCATATTATTATAGCTGAGCCTTCGGCTTTCGGTTCGTCCGACCATTTCATCCGAACCTACTTTTATCGTCGCACTCATTTCGTAGGCATTTAGATCATCAACAGGGTACTCAGGTTCGTCTTGTACTAGATCAAGGATATCTCTGGCCTGGTTCTCATTCAAGGCACCTGCAGCTTCCCGGTCATTGTCTTCTCCGGGTAATACGTCGAAAATATCATCGTCGGAAAGGTATGGATCATCATCTGAGACCGCAGGCCAAGCTGCGCTCTCATCAACGTTTACTTCTGCATTCGCCGCAGTATCAGGATCGACAAGTTGTTGTTGATACTTATCAAAATCGTTCTTGTCCGGATAGAAATCCTCGACACTCTGCATCGCAGTCTTTACATCCTGGGCGAAGGGCTTCTGCGAAAGTAAATCATCGAATGTTACATCACCGCCACCATTCTCCTGCTTCTCCTCATTGACGGTCTGCACAGCCATTTGACGATACTCTTCTTCGTGGATCCAGCCACCTCCAGAAGTATCTCTTGGGTTAACGGACAAAGAGACTAATTCGTTGGGATCGAATGGGCTACTGCCCGGTTCGAGCCCCAGACGTTTCTTCCGCCTGCGTGTCTCATCCTGCCACAAACCTGCCATACTCGGAACAAGTCGTTCATCAGAAGTCATTTGCTTAAAGAGTTCAGTGAAATCCTGATGGATGGGCCTTTCGCTAATTTCCGAGCGGTTTAGAATGTCCTGAACGCAAATATCGACCTCTAGGGGACAATGGCTTTGCTTTGGGAAAAGGCAGTCGTCTAACAGGTCGTCGGGTTGTACGGATCGGTCGTGCCAGCGATGGGATAGATCAGTAAGCTCAAAGTATTCTGGGACCGGACTGCGAAACTTGACTTTGCTACACTTCAGATAGGCGCATCCGTACAAACTGTAGTCACACATCCACTGCGGAACGAACTGCAAATGACTTTCGTATGGTTGTAGAGGACGCTTAAGGACAGCGCCCTGAAGTAGCAAGTCCGCCAGCCTGGTCATATAAATTGGGTTCATGAGATAGATTTTAAAGTAGAACTTATAGCCCACATGATACCCATAGAAGGGAACACCCTTCACCAGAGTGATGTGGGCGACGAAGGGTATCTTTTTGGCATTTTCGTTGCGATTGTAGCTTACTGCCAGAGCATGATCGATGGAGAGACGGAGACTCCTAATAGCAGAGCTCACTATAGAAAACTTAGCTGCATGCACATACCATATTGTTACACCTCTTAACAGACCAACCTTTCTCTGTCTCCAGATCACCGTCATACTCGACATACAAATAAGGAAAGGCGCCATGCACATGGACGCACACCTTCTGGCCAGTCTCCGTGGCCCCAAAGATCCTAATTACAGGGACTTTCGATCTATCATTTTTCCCAGCCGCACCATCCCTGTAAGGCAGAGGAGGGTCGAGTTCTGACGGAGTTGCCTGGTAGTGGTCCACGCAATTAAGGCGCACTTGGAAGGGTTCCATAGCTTGATTTAAGGACAGCGGAAGCTGTCAGCGACCGAACGCGCGAGGATTTCCGAGTCGCGTCATATCAATAAATCAGGTACCGACAGCATCACCCACTGCTTTGCCGTCCAACTTTCTATTTTGACTGCGACGTGTAGGAAGTTGTGGTTGAGTTTACGCGACTGGGTGGCGCGGGTAATACGCCAGGTCACGTGAGTGATACGGAACCGTCGCCGACTCCCATCAGCGCGGAGATAGAATCAAGAACTTGACATTCACACACATCTGCTGGTTTTACCAGTGAAACTTGAGTATTTTGGCGGCGCTATAGCTCTTTCTTCCTTTCCCTATACTTTGCGCCTTCTGTTCCCTGCCATCCGCCATCATGTCTAAAAAACCCGCCGATGTGGCGTCGAAAGAGCGCAACGAGTACATTCCATCTTTCATTTCGAAGAAGCCGTTCTATATCGACGACGACTCTCAAGCCAATGACTACCTAGAGCATCAACGTTTGCAAAAGTCGACAGCAGACCAGTCAAAATGGTACGATCGTGGCAAGCGTGCTGGTCCCGCGGCCACTAAATACCGGAAAGGCGCCTGTGAGAACTGCGGCGCCATGACCCACAAGACGAAAGAGTGTCTGAGTCGCCCTCGAAAGCATGGTGCCAAGTGGACCGGTAAAGACATTCAGGCGGATGAAGTTATACAAGACGTTAACATGGGGTGGGATGCGAAGAGAGATCGGTGGAACGGCTACGATCCGAGCGAATATCGACAAGTGGTGGAGGAGTACGAGGAACTTGAGAAACTGAAACGAGTCACAAAACAGGATGGAGAAAACGAGGGCAAGGATGGCGAGGCCGATGACGATGAAGATGCGCCTCAGGAGGAAGCCCGCTACGCTGAGGAGTCCGACATGGGAAGACAACAGAGCACCGCCACTCGCAACCTCCGTATTCGAGAAGACACGGCAAAGTATCTGCTGAACCTGGATCTTGATTCGGCTAAGTACGATCCAAAGACACGACGGATGGTTGATATGGGCGCTCAGGATGATCAGGCAGCAGCACTTGTTGCCGAAGAGAACTTTGTCCGCGCTTCAGGTGATGCTGCTGAATTTGAGAAGGCGCAAAGATATGCCTGGGAATCACAAGAACGTGGTGCGCAGAAGGTCCACCTGCAGGCGAATCCGACAGCTGGAGAGGTCATGCGGAAGAAGGAGGAGGCAGAGTCTGTGGCGAAACGTGAAGCTCAACGGAAGGCTCTTCTGGATAAGTATGGTGGTCAAGAGCACCTCGATCCCACACCGTTGCGGGATACAATGGTTGTTGAGAATGAGAGGTTCGTCGAATACGACGAGACGGGTGCGATCAAGGGAGCACCAAAGAAGGCGGCCAAGTCGAAGTATGCTGAAGACATCTTCACCAACAACCACACATGCGTCTGGGGAAGTTGGTGGCACAACTTTGAGTGGGGATATGCCTGCTGCTTTTCCACCGTCAAAAACAGTTATTGTACTGGTGAAGATGGGAAGCGCGCATTCCAAGAAGCAGACCAGCTGCTGATGCTGTCTGAGAACGGGGCCGATGGTGACGAGCTATCCGCTGAGCATGAAGATAACGACGCGCATGAAGCCGTTGATGATGCTCAACCCTCAGAGCAGCTGAAGGAGTCATCTAACGGTAATGCGAAGAAGAGAACGCTCATGGAGGTGCAGTCTGGAATCACCGAGGAAGAAATCGAGTCATACAAGCGAAGCCGACTTGCAGCCGACGATCCCATGGCCGCATTCATTGGCAAAGACGAGCTTGTATAAACGCTCCTATAACATTACAAAATTCACCAGCTCTGCTATATAGGCGCATAGTAGTTGTCATAGATACCCATCCAAATTGTGCATATCCTGATATCTTCTCTTTTAGCTATAATCTGTAATTCCAGTCTTAATACCGGTATAGATTCTTCATCACTATCTGGACTAAGTACGGAGTAGTAAGGTACGTAGGTGCATAGATAGCCTTATTGCTCCCGGGCCGCGATATCCTAGTCCCCAAGTAGCCTAGCGCAATGGAGCAACAAAGTGGATCCCGCCGGAGCAAACAGAATTACTCTTTGCAGTTATGAAGTCATGTGACAGTCTCACCCTTGAGGCTGTCGGCGAATCACGGGACCAGGGCACAAGCCCTGACAACCACAACTCGCTAAGCGACACCACCCCAGATCCCAGTGCAACTTCGATACGCCCAGCGACGACGACAACGACAACCAGCCCTTCAACGGAATCGCCAGGTAGGTCCAGTTTGCGCCCTCACGTGGGATTATTGTCATTTTTCCCCAGGCCGGGAAATTTTTTTAATCTCGATTTTCCGTCGCTAACAAATTGTGCCATATAGTTCCACATAATTCAAGATGAGTACGTGCCAACGCGATATACCACCGCCCAGTCCGATCTATCGACGAGAACAACATCCAGACTGACATACCGATTCTGTTTATAGCGAAGGGTACCTCCAGCTTCGGAAAGCGCCACAACAAGACTCACACTCTTTGCCGGCGTTGTGGTCAGTATTTACACTACTCCGAAAATTTATATATGTCCTCCGGGCGGGAATTGTTATACGGGATATCTCTACACAACCAACGGAATGGATGAGAGAAGGAACGGAATAATAAATGACTGCCGGGAGGAACATGTATATGAGGTTATGGGGAAAACGACCAGATGGGCTAATACTCTTCGGATTGAATTCAGGCCGCCGCTCCTTCCACGTCCAGAAGTCGACTTGTGCCAACTGCGGTTACCCTGCCGCTAAGACTCGCAAGTGTACGAATCCTTTTCCCCAAAACCCCACCATCGAAGAACAACCGCTGGTTCCTTAAAGAAAGAAACCTTGGATACGGATTGTATGAAAAAGTGTTTGGATGAACAAATTGGCTTACGAAGTTCGTTTTATACAGTCAACTGGAGCGAGAAGGCCAAGCGCAGAAAGACCACCGGCTCCGGCAGAATGCGTCACCTCAAGGAGGTCCACCGCCGCTTCCACAACGGCTTCCAGATCGGCACTCCCAAGGGCGCTCGTGGTCCCGAGAACCACTAGATTCCCCCCTTTCGATGACTGTCGCGTTTTCGTTTCGTTCTCGGAGGCTGGAGGCAGGGCTGGTATGACAGGGCCGGTTGGCATTTGACGACGTGAACCGGGTCGCAATGCTAGGGGCATTAAAAAAAAGACGCTATTCCCCGTGGAGTTGGTGTTGGGACGGTCTTTTTTTTTCATATTTGCCGTCATAGCATTTCTTTATTCTAGAGAAACACAAAAATGGCATATATTGACGACAATGTGAAAGAAGAAAAAAAGACGCACGTCTTCTCTCTTGCTCTCTGGGGATGTTTTTCTCTTTTTCTGTTTCAAAGAAAGAAATGAAATGGGAAACTTTATGCATGAATTTCCTTGTCTTGTTTAGGGCTGGCAGATATCCCATGTCGTGACAGATGCAGTTTGAGATTATTCGTCCAATGTGATCTGTCTACTTGAATGCAACCTACCCTTCGAGTGCGTACGATGTGGTTTCTGCGACAACAGATGTGCTTTTTCGATCCAATTGCGACAAGATTTCTATTTACCCCCGGTCTATTGTTTTCCGTATGCACGCCTGAACGCCTGGACATGACATGGAATGATGCAACAACTCTAGTATCTATTCTCCTCGCCCAAAGACGCTAACACCACCGTCCCTTTGAACGAAATATAGGACTTCCTTCTCTTCCCAATGACTATTAGCCTCGGTGCTGTCATTTTGCCCCCATGCACCACCTTTGCTGATCCTGAGCACACCGCTGACATCCCTTGCGGCACCCGTTTCGAGGTTTCGGAGCTGCATAACCATGTGCGCCCGATGAGCCGATCCAATAGCAAAAGCGGCATGCTCAGTCTCCAGCGGAGTTGCTCCATGGTGCGCAGATGCGGAAGCATTGTGGATCAACGGAGAGTCAGAGGACACCGTCATAATCGTTGCGTGAGCGTACTAGGCAAATAAGCTCGCGGTCAGCGGATATGGTTCCCCATATAAATACCGTACTGCCAGTGGAGACTCATAGCATACCTGTTGTAGACCCATCACCCAATCTCCCATCTCTGTAGCGCCTATGCCCCTGCTCGGGCCCGTAGCGGCTAGCAGCAGATCTGGCTGATCGATAACTAATAAGACCTCGGGCTCTTCCTGTTCATCTCCAGATGGTGATATTTTCAGGTCATTGATCACCGCTGCAATGTCTTTCTCGAGCACATCCAAAGCCGCATTTCCATTTCCTGATAGGTGAAGCCGCTTGACTGGCCCGACTTCTCTCGATGTTGGCGGGTTCGGAGGGGCAGCGACTGGCCGAGCAGCGGGTTGCGGTCCTCGCGCGGGAACAGGTCCGGGTTGCGACCTGACGGGCAGAACTGTCCGGGAAGGCACTGTTCCTCGCGGTGAGGGTTGGATCGTTGGTGTCTGAGTCGAGGTAGTGGAGGGGGCGGCGAAAAGTTCGGAGAGTCCGTCAACAAACGCGAATTGGCGTTTGTCTGTGAGGCGGGCAAGATCGAGGCCCTGATCGGGTCAGCGTTGTCGCCAATCATTTAGTTACGTAGAAAGCAGTTAAAGTGAATGAAGAGAGAAACGGAAGTATTCAAGCCTCGCACGGCCCAGATAATCCATAACATATGACCAAATAGAGCGACGTGACAAGGGTTCACAAGCATACCAATCTTTTGGCCTCGGACCTCCAAAATTCCCAACCCCGCAGAAAACTCACGAGCACGACCTTCCTCTTTCTCCCATTGTTGGTGTCGCTGAGGCCCGCAACAGCGTCTGACGTCGAAGACGAATTCAAGGCAGCATACAGGAATCGTAGGACTAGCCAATTCCCTGTTGCGCCAAGTACTGAAGATAGGACTGTGAGGGAGGATGGCGGCAGAGACGATACGTAGGGAGTGAGGAGGGGTGGGAGGGGCGGTTGGCTAGGCATCGCACTGAGAGCGTCGCAACTGCTCCGTCTTCAAAATCGTACGGTCGGATAGCACTGATGATGTCTCCGAGCTGATGGAGATGACTTCAAATTCGAGATTGGAATTGTAGAAACGGAAGCTGTGTTTTTTTCTTGTCTGCACTTTTTGTAAATGACGTTGTATGAAATTCGATTTCCTGCGGATTTTTGCGATTGGTCCGCGACGGTGCCAAGACAAGTCACTGGATCGATCAATACGGAAGGTGCGATGGGGTGGGTGCCTGCCTGTTTACTACTTACTATATGGAGATGGTCGTGGTCTTCCCCCTGCTCATCTCAGGAATGACTTCTTTCTCATCTACTAGTTATCATGTCTTTCACCATGTTGGATGTCATCTTTGCCTAGTCTGAGCTGATTCAACTGGTCAGCTCGTGTTTCAGTAATGAAGCGCTGATCACGTCCCCGAGCTCAGAGCTGTACCCGAAGTAAATATATTTCAAGCGGTGCTCCTAGGCTACTATGCTAACTACGCGCCCTCTGCATGCTGCTAATAGTTCGCTGGGACGGAGATGATACTAGTATTACACTCCCAAAACAACCACAACCGGCAAACCCTTTCTGTGGAGGTATTCTGAGGCTGCGCGTCAATTTCATGGAATACGATTTCATTGCGGCATTATCATCCGCATCAGGAGATATCTCGGACGCTCTCGCGATTCCAGGCCGTTCACTACATTAGCTTCACGTCACCCGTGCCGATCACTGAGGCATTTTATGCGAACTACTGAATACTCTACGCTCTACTCAGGCTAAGGTATGCCGTATGATTATGATTATCGTCTCAGAGCCGTGAGGGGAATGGTCATTTCCTGCCTGAAGCGACGCCGTTGATTCCTGAAATTCCAGGAGGAAATTTTCGGCCCGTCACCTGACTGGCTCCCCCACACGAGCCAAAAGTCCATCAGCAATCATCGTCGCACTCGCTGGTCGAGCATCCATCCAGGTCTCGTCCTCTTCTCGCCGACTTATAAGTTTAGAGCGTTGGAGCCGTACCCGATAACTTATCGTCCGGCTCCAAAAGCGTTGGGCCCTTAACTGCTTCCGCGCCGATCGTAAGTTGGCCGCCCCATCCATGTCCCTCGCTCCAAGCGTGTTACACTCAGGCACCTCGCTTTTTCTCCCATACCCCACCGGTCTTGGAGACGGTTAAAGCGCCTCTTTCCCATACCTTCTGTACATGTATCCATCCATCGTTAAAGCGGGAATCTGCGAAACTCGACCAGTCCTGTTGTTATATTTCAGCCTGTAAAAAGATGTGTCTACAAAAGTACTCATGTTCTTCATACTTCGCTCGACTTCATCTTGCGGCGCAGATCAACATCGATCACGATTAGCGCTGTAGTTGATGGCTAACAAAGTCTCCCCAGATGACATCAGTTTGGTGTACATATCAGCGCGCAAGAGACTCAGGGTACATCAAAATTGACTTTCGACGTTAAATATGGCCAGTACTCGTGATTCTCACTCCTATGCTGTGAGTACCCTATGTAAAGGGGAGGAGGCAACCTATCAAGCTAATCGCGGACATACAGTGTGATGAATGCCGGCTCCGGAAGTCCAAGGTAAGCTGCTCCCAAGTATTTACTCGGTATCCAGCTAATCTCCATCGCAGTGCTCGAAAGAGAAGCCGACATGCGCACAATGCAAGCAGTTGAACAAAGAATGCAACTACAGTCCTAAGGTCACCAGAAGCCCTCTAACACGACAGTAAGTCCTTCTATTGCCTTGCGGTTTCAGTACTGTCGTCAAACTCCTTTGACCCTTGGAACCAATCAATTGCTAATCCTTGCTCAGACACCTGACCTATGTGGAGGAGCGCTTACAAGCCTTTGAAACAGCGTTATCAAGGCTGTTCCCAGGCGGCGATCTGGATGCCACCGTCCGCTCTCTTTTGCACGATCAGGAGGGTCCACCAAAGCCTGGCTCCTCGAAGTCCTCGTCCCGGCATTCCACCCCTGCAAAAGCTGAGCCGGATCGGGCCGAACCAGCCCCGGAAGCGCTGCCGCAGCAGGCTGATGGATTCGACTGGGCGGAGAACAAAATCACAGTTGGCGACCTGACAGATGGCATGGCAGCCCTGTCCATTAAGCCAGAAGGAGCTGGCTACTTCGGTCAGTGTGTCCGACTGCTTTGCAACTCGGGATTGCAAGTGCTAACTGTCTGTATTAGGCGCATCTTCGAGTGTTGTGCCGCTTCGAGCGTTGTTGAAGCATGGTTTTGACCTTAATATCCCTGCCAGATCCTCAAAATCGAGTTATGGCATGGAAAGAGTGCCTTTGAAGGCTCAACTACTCAGCACCGCGCCCTCTGGTCTTGTCGAACAAGCTTTCATGGATGCATTCTTCCTCAACTACCATACCAGCTACCCTTTCGTCCACGAGGGTACTTTCCGAGCGCAGTTCTATGAGCAAGTTCCGCGGCCACATGGTCAGGCATGGCAGATCCTATTGAACACGATCTTGGCTTTGGGGGCGTGGAGTATCGGTGACGATAATTCTGACCTGGATATTACATTCTATCAAGAGGCGAGAGGTCATTTACAGCAGGTGTCTGTGTTTGAGACCGGAAACCTCACTCTTGTTCAGGCATTACTGCTTCTGAGCAACTATGCCCAGAAACGGAACAAGCCTAATACCGGATGGAACTTTCTCGGGTTGGCGGTTAGGATGGCCATGAGCTTGGGGCTCCACAAAGAATTTCCTGGTTGGAAGATCAGCCTTCTCCAGCGCGAGGTCAGGCGGCGCCTGTGGTGGGGAGTATACATCTTCGATAGCGGTGCGGCCAAGACTTTCGGCCGGCCTATTCTCTTGCCTGAAGACGATGTCATGGACGCAAAACATGTACTCAATATCCACGATGAGGTAAGACTCGGCATTGTGACTATTATCCTCTAATCCGGCGTACAATGTCTGATTCATCCTGCAGGCTCTTACGCCCCTCACTACCGCTCTACCCCATGAGGTCAACGAACCAACCCTCTATTCCGGCCTAATAGCCCAGGCTAGGTTTCATCTCCTTACCAACAGTGTGTATCAGCGTCTCATCTCAGGCCCGAGTTTGACGCCAGAGGAAACGCTGGGTCTCCAAAGACCAATGGAAGAATGGTACAATGGCCTTCCTGATTACTTCAAGCAGCCACCCACACCGATATCGGATGCATTCGCTCTTGTCCGCAATCGGTTGATGTGGCGCGACTGGAACTTGAGGATACTTCTATACCGTCCTATTCTTCTTCGTTGGGCATCGCGTCGATGGACACCAAACTCGGCCCCCGAACCTGAGGATCCGCTTGAGGCAGATTGCAGGAGGCTTTGTCTTCGGAATGCGCGTTTGACAATATCATCGATCGCAGATTTTGTAAACAACCACGTCTGCACAAGGATTGGTGCATGGTACATGCTGTATGTCTCCCATGACCCTTTTCCTTGACACCGCTGACATCTTCCATAGATACTTCCTGTTTCAAGCTGGTGTCATCCCGATCATCTTGCTTATGACCGATCCGACAAGTACGGACGCCCCTAGCTGGCTCCAAGAGATCGAGTCCACGAAGAAGCTTCTGGTACACCCTTCTCTCAGCAACAACCGCCTTGCGACTCGTTGTCTGGAAGTTGTAAATCGACTCTGTTCGCCTGCATACACGAGTGCCGCCGCCGATAAGACGGCAGGACAGACAGCACCCATATTGATGCCCTTTTCCGATCAGCTCTTCAACGACCCAACCTTTGGTAGTATGTTTCCGGACGTGGACCAGGAGCTGAATCTTGCTGGCATGGACTTCTCGGAATGGGTAAACTTCCCTCCACAGAATGAGTTTGTCTGAGCATCTGTCAAAGCCGAGAGGAGATGATTTCGGGGCTAGAGTCGGTCAAGGGTCATACACGAATGTAGCGGAGCCTACAGAACACAAGAGGATGTCACAGCCGGACCTCCATTCCTCGAAGGACCCGCTTCTTGAGCTGTCACACAAAACGGAACCCGCTATTTGATATGAAGGCGGAAAATTGCAAGAGTTTATGAAAGTTATGGACCCTCACGCAACGTCCTCTTCCTCCTGTGCGAAGGGCTTCACGAAATCCGGGTCGACCGTGTGACTATCGATGCCGCGCAGTTGAGCCTCGATTCCGACAATACGCTGTTTCTCTTCATGGGCAGCTGTGTCGCCAAAGATGAGATCCATATCTTCCAGAGTCTAAACAAGTCGTCATGTTAGTGATGTCAAGTGGACAACCAAGGGCAAACCAAACATACCTTTCCACGGGTCTCTGGGATAAAGAAGAAAGTGAACCCGAATGCCAGAAGGCAGAACGCTGCGAAAAAGATATAGGTACCCCAGGTGATTGAGTCGAGCATATCAGGGGTGACGAGACCGATGATACTAGGTGCAAATGTCAACAATGAGTCATGACAGTCATGGATACAAAAAAAGAAATGGCAAAAACAAAGGACTTTCTGGACATACAAGTTACACATCCAAGTAGCGGAAGTTGTGATGGATATAGCTTTGGAGCGTATGGATAGATTGAAAATTTCCGATGGCAGGACCCATCCGATAGGAGCTATATGAACATTAGCACGATCCACTTTGCATATAAAGTAGTAAACAAACAAACCAAAAGAGTACGAGAAGTTGATATCATAGATATAGATGAACGCGATCCCCGCCCATCCGGCAGATCGGTGATGGATGAGATCCGACCCATAGGCCCCAATGATTGCACCCACGATCACCAGCGAGATACAAGTCCCCGTGGCACCAGACATGAGCAACACTCTCCGACCGACCTTGTCGATCAGAAACAGCGCGGGCAGGGTGCTAAGGCAGTTGATGATCCCATAGACGCCGGTAGCGAGAAGGGAGCTCTGTGATCGTGTTAGTCCATCGGCTGGTTTTGAGATAAACAGAAGATTTATAAGCGTACGGTATTTCCATCGAGGCCCAGCTGAGCAAAGATTGTAGGGGCGTAGTAGATTATAGCTATTTGATTGGTTAGCACGTGCCATCTATAACAGGAGGCACATGACGTACCATTACAGCCCATAAACTGCTGAAAGAACATAATACAGCATCCGATTGCTAGGCGCTTGAATCGCGCCCATGTGGTTACGAGTGAGATATACTATTGTTATCACCATCATCATTGATGAGTTAGATTGATGCTCAACGTTGAATTGTGGGTATGTTGGGGAAAGAGGGGAGGGGAACGAACCTGCGCCGCATGTAACCTGAACCCCGATAAATCCGGGAACCGTTCTCTAGCGAAGCTATTCTCCAGCATAATGGATGCTTTGATCTCGAGGTATTCATTCGTCAGGTCTGGGTTACTAGTAGCTTGTCGACGTAGTCTGGACAATGCCTGGAGAGCCTCGTCGTCTCGTTCTTTCATTAGTAGCCATCTGGGGGAGTCGGGGAAGAAGAGCATCCCTAGGCCGAGGGTCAGGGCCGGGATGATTTGGATGGCAAGTGGGAGACGCCAGGATGCTTCGGATTGGCCGGTGCAGATTCCGTCCTGGGGGATGTCTGTGTAGGGGTCGAATGAGGGGGAGGAGGCGGTGCCGCCTGTGTAGGGAATGTTGGGGGCGCAGCGGGTGCCGCCGATGTAGTTTGTGCCGTAGTCGATCCAGTAGCTTATTAGGATGCCGATGGTGACGGAGACTGAATGGGTTAGTGGGTGTGATTGTGTGGTGGAATTAGGGGGTACTCACGTTGTTGCAGAACGACGAGACCACCGCGTATTTCAGGAATGGAGACCTGTTGGGTTAAGGTGAGTATTGTGGTTATTGGGGTGATTGTGTGGGGGAGGGTGTATATGTACCTCGGAGATATACAGAGGTACTACCATGGTTAGTTGGCCAACGGCTACGCCTGCGATTGCACGTCCTGTGGTGTGTGAGCTGTTGTCTGGGGAAGGGTAGTGGAAATGTCAGGGGAAGGATGCATACCAGCAAAGAGCATGGGTATATTGACGGCACCGCATTGAATGGCTGACCCAATGACGAATACAACGACAGCGAGGTTGATGGATATTTTGCGGCCTAGTCGGTCCACGATGGGGCCGTTGATGAGGGATCCAAACCAGGCAGCTATAGAGACAGTAAGTGACCGTGCGTTCATATGTGTAGAATGATTAGCATGATGGGACATACATATCAACAGAGTTGACACAAACCACCCCTTGAAGCTGCTGTCCATGTACACTCGAGGAAACCGAGCGCCGAATGATTGCATAGTTATCACACCGGAGACCACGCCCTGATCATAACCAAAGAGCAGCCCACCCAAGGTGGAGAACTAGTAGAGATTGGATCGGATCAGCATATTGTCTGATGCGTCAGAGTCGTATGAAACTCACCGATGCAACGCCCAGCAGGTAGGGGTTTTGGTATATCAAAGCGAAACCGCCATTGGGATTCTGAGTGTTGGGAGCCATAACTGCATGCTTCTTCAGCGTTAGACTCTTGACGCACAATCGACATACGGCCGATATCCCAGGACAGTGTCTCCTTATAACTATACCCAACTCACCTATGTTTATCTCTTCCCCGCGAAGGAGCATCAAGCTAGAACGGAGAGGTGTGCTCCGTCCAATGGACAGAGAATCCCACTTTCTGAAGACGACAGCACGAGGTTTAGAAACAACTCGCGGGGGGTATCAACTGGAGTATTAACGGAGTCGGAGAAGAGTACTCCGCAATGGGTAGTAGTGACTCGCCCTGTCATGACAACAGCATCCAGGAGTGATACTACGGAATGGATGGATGCGGGGAAAGGTTGAAGGAAAGCGGAGTTGCTCCGTGGACCCCACCGTGGGGGAAGAAGAACCATAAATCGGGCCCATGAGTAAATTTGTTGACCGAACATCAACAGTTCGGCTGGTGTGGGTTGTACTTTCTGAAGAAAGTGGATGAAAAGATGATGACTCCTGTCCGATAGAGACGAATCAGATGACGCTTGGCCATCATGTGATGATTATGGACTGGTTTCAAAACGGATGAATTGAGTGATTGCCCGAAGCAGCACAGTGCAGCCTTAGGATCTAGGTACACAGACATCGCAAGAGAGTCTATGGATCTACCGGGTAAGCAGCCGAGACCGAGAATATTCAGCTACCAGATATTAATGCGGCTACTAATTCACGGACTATACAGCATTCAGCTATTCCTGCCCCCTCACACATTCAAATCACAGCACGTTGCGTCATAAACTCCCCGATGCTACGTGAAGCGGAATGATGACTCGATCACTTTGTCTAAGAGGTGGTACAGTCTGCTGTGGTGGCAGTTGTATCTCGAATAACATGAAATTGAGGGGTTTCGTCACCGCATGCAGGCCGGGTAGATGATGCAACAGTCGCATGTGGGATGCTTATCGGCCAAGCATTTGATAGGCTTCCAAGCAGCCACCATGCAAGGCATTCCTGCAGACAAGGACCGAGGAGGTTTACAACAAGATGTAGGACTTGTCATCCTTGGTCTGGGCTGGTGAATTTCAAGTGGCATGCGGGAAGCCTTGCGAACCTGCTTAAGCACTTTCTGACTGCGTGACTTTGCAGCTCGGTTATGCCATGCTTCGTTTGCCCACGGCATGGATGCACGCCACCCAGCAGTCGGATTCTAAAAGGGAAGATGAGTGATCTTATCCCAAGTCTCACAATTTGCACCTAGAGCTGAAGCTAACCCACGCCCACCGAATGCGACGCACAGCATAGACGCTAAAAAGGAACAGAGAGGCTGTTGGAGCAATTAGGAATACGAAGCAAAAAAGACCACAACCTTGCCAATGCCATACTGATAACAATACGCTTCTTCGCCAAGCCAAGTACTAGGACAATAGCCTCCGTTCACCCTGCTGGAAACCAGACTTGCATATTCGATGGAAAGGGCGTAACACAAAATATTCAGGCGCTAAAGATCGTGGGGAAATTCCGGTTCAAACTACTGCTCACATGGCCGAAAAGTGATAAGGCAATGTCCTTTCATTTGCGGGAATCGCTGGGCTCCCAGTGGATGGGTTCGAAATCCTGGTTCTGGAAATGGGCTTGATTGTATGGTGAACTACTGCAAGGGTTAGAATGTGGCACCGGCAAGTACAAAAGGGCGTCATAAGCGGTGAGACAGAGATACTCACTTCTTGAACGGCGTGGTGACCGGAAGAGAGTGGCTGAGGTTGGGTTTCATCACTAGTGGGTTCAACCGGATTTGCGGCCCGTCAGACGACCGGGGCGGCAGGGAGCTCATGGGCGGTGGTGGTGCCGACATTCGCGGTGGCGCTGGCGGGGGTGATGCGATAGACATGGGAGGTGATGCATGCATGGGGGGCGGCTGGTACACTTCCTGAGGGGGGGATACCCGGTACGGACTGGGGGGAGCCGCCGGCATCGGAGAAGGGGCCATGCCAAAAGAAGGGTCCATCATCAGATTGGGGATGGTCATCAAACTGGAGTTCACATCGAACGCGAGGGCACCTTGATCCCAGGGGGCATAGTCAGAAGTCATTGCGTATTGGTAATTAACCACGGGTTCCATATTCACAGTAGGTTCGGCTGGGTAGAGAAGGTCATAGTGGCCCCTACGGCTATGTTAGCGTGATCCATGGCGCCCATTCAATCCGAGTCTGCGCATCGCAAATGAGACTCACGGGCGGTATAGTAGGCAGATAGTCCCGCCAGTAGCTCGCGGCGGGGTCAGAAGATGAGGAGTGACCGCTTCACCTTCGCTGCGGTCGAGATACATGATCTCTACGGCGAATCCGGACCCCTCGATTACCCCATCCACCAAGGCTTGGAGGCCGATCTCGTCGATTTCCGTTCTGACAACGTCTATTCGTGTCGCGCAATATTGCTCGAGGGGCATGGAGAGGAAGGCTTCGTATCGAGACGGGTGAAGTTTCATCCAGGCGCTTGTCAGCAGCTGTAGTACATTGCGTATTAACATGTCAGTCGCAAAACCCGACATCCCCGGTCGATATGCGGAGTTAAAACAGCAGCGCTTCAAGGATCACTGACCTTGAAATGAGTGATGATAGCATTCGAGTTGTACTCTTCGTTGAATGCATTGACGAGGAAGGTCTCATCCCGGATGCCGTTTTGGATGGCAGTGCTTATCTGGTTGAACACCTCCTCTGTTGCGTCCACAAAAATCTCGTATAGGTGTTCTTCCTGACCCGTTTGGTCGAGGAGTGCGTTCATCGCCTTTATCCGCACCAATTCATGGTGTACCTGCATTGGATTCTGAAGGTTGAGCAAGTTCTCAAAGTATCCAAATGCAACGGCTACACAGTGTAAGCAAAACCTCCATCGCCAGTGATACGGGCGTGATTACCTCTCCAACCACAATTTCCGTCTCCTTTCATGGTTCGTGTCAGAGGGTGCGTTATAGCAAGAGCCTGTTGGAACCACTGTGAGTCACTTCGGCTCCCACTTCCGGGGGATTGAAGGAGTGACAAGTGAAGGAGCGTACATTAGTCTTGGTGGCAAATGTCGGATCCGCATTTGCATATTCCATAGCAATGACGCTACTGGACTGTTTCGTTGACACCGGAGGGCCCTTCAAGTGCACGTGTGAGTCAGATAGTCTGGACATGGATCATCAAGTCCCTTACCTGAACGTCGGGTTGAAACTCATTGGAGAGTTTCTGGAACCTCTCCATTTCGGCGGTCGAAAGGGTATTCATGTTGAAGAAAAAGTTGTTGCCTGGATGATAAAGGGCGTTTGAAAGTTGCGAGTATCCGTGATCGAAGAATGCGGATGAATGAGGGTGTTGAGGATAGAAGCCGGAAGTTGAATCCTGTCCAGTGGGAAAGTGGTTGATAGGGTCGAAATGGTTCCAGGGAAGATCCGACAGGGACATCGCATAGAAAGACGTTGGATATTCGGCTTCAGGAGCAGTCGCTTAGGGATGGAGAAGTCGCCAGCAGCCTTTCCTTAGCAGGGAGACAGGACCTTTATTCACTTAGCGAAGAACATGATGAAAGAACGTAATACACACGAGACAAATGAGCATCGTTTGAAACAAAGTTCTTGTGTGACACAGTGATGACCAGCCGGCTGGGTCTATGCACTGATGTAACCGACCTACTATGTGACGTCCTTAGCATATCTCGTCAAGCCGGTAGCCGTGCAGAAGATGCAAGAGGGCTGTTTCCCGGGAATTCGGCCGTGAAGAGACGAACAGACTCAGCCAATGGTGAAGAGAGAAGCAACTGATCTACCAAGGAAGTGGGAAGGTGCTCGCAGAGATGATGAACCAAAGCCGGTTGCCAGCCACAGAATCACGTCCACGGGATCCGACGCTGGCATTGGAAAGGCAAGAAGGATCAAGACTCGCGGGACCGAGGTACCAAAACAGGATGGAGGAATAGAGGATCAAGATGAGAAGAGGAAGGGGCTGACATAGCCGGGGAAAGGGAAGGTCAGAGGCAGTTGAGCAGGCAGAGACATAGAGTACGCAAGCATGCACTTGGCTCGAGGGATGCGAGAGCCAGAGATGAAAGAGCATCTGGCGATGCTGAGTGGCGCGCAAGGCCACGGCCTCTGCACTCAATCAACCCTCCTTTACAAAAAGACTTTCCAGGCCGGCGAACGCCAAACAGAATGGGGTGGGAAAGGGTTCCCACACGGTTGACATGCCAGCACTCACACGCCTTGCATCTGATGCGCTGGGAGATGTAACGGATGCTACTCCATCGTCGATTGGGTGCCCGTAGAAGAATTGCAAGGTACCCGGAACGCCACTGGGATTAAAGATCGGGGTGGGTGTTTGATGGTCGGGGAGAGCCAAGACAGTAATGGTGAATGCAGAGAAAGTCGCAAGAACGAGAGATAAAGGGATAAAGAGGGGAGAAAGTGTTGGTGGGGGGAAGAAAGGGCAAAAGCGAAGGAATGGGGGAAAGAATAGTACAGAGAGAAGCGGGATGCAAAGGTAAGATAACACAAACCGGCAAGGTGATGTCAAAGCCCATTGAAAGGAAAAGCGTGGTTGGACCTACTGGAAATCTGCAACAAAGCTCTCTTTCTCTACGGCTGAAGTGCATACGTCCCAGGTGTGTCACATGTGCCGTGGCATCAATGCTTGGGATGCGTCGGTGAAAGTGGCCGATGGAAATCGAAGGGTGTTATACTATGCCCCAAAGCGGTAATGATGATAGACAGTCCGTCGCTCTTCGGAATGGCGGGAGATCCAGTAAGATAAAGTGGTTTTGTGTTTTTGAGGGGCAAAAGGGTGAGGAAAGTGGGCGGGCAAGAGTGTGGGCGGGAAACTGTAAAGTGTGGGAGGGGAAGGGTAAAGAGGAGGAAAAGGCTGAACGATGGATTCTGGATGGTCAGGGCGACCGGCTAATCACTTGACGGGAAAGTGGAAGAGAGGATGATGGATGATGGGATGAACAGATTTAAGGTAGGGGAAAGAGAAAAAAGACTGGTAGACCGAGCAGGGATGTGGAAGAACCTAATAGTGGTGGTAGTAAGTAATGTAAGAGTACTCCGTAGTAGATAAGTAGACGGATAATAAGATAGATAGATATTGATGAAGGGGGTGGAGGGAAAAGGCAAGTAAATAGAGTGTCAAGACAAGACGAGTCAAATCAATGCCATATCCCGAATATTTTTAAAACCCCGAGAGGTGACCCAGGGTTTAATAAGGAAGAGAATTAAGCAGCCAGCAATGGAAGGATGGATGCGTTCGTGGAGAATGGAGAGAGAGAGAAAGACGAAAGAAAATAATAAAAATAATAATTATTAGAGGAAAAGAAAGGCTGACTGACTGACATTCAACAACAAGAAGGCCGGGCGCGGGGTTTCCGACGGGGTCGTTCATACATACATACAGTCCAAATACAAGTTCCGTCAAGTCGGTCTGCTTGTCACGACTCGCTAGCGGATGGATGCGTGCTTTGCTTGGGGGGAAAGGGTAAGAAGTGTGTGTTTCCACCAGCATGGATAGTCCCAAAATTATTCAAGTCGGTCTCAATCAACCAGGGTCATTTTATTTCCTTTTTTTATTTTTCACTCATACACAAATAAATAGATCATTTTTCTTTTCTTTTTCTTGATCACTATTTTACGCACTCATGCACAATCACTTCCACCCATCACCACTTCTATTGCTATCTACCCCTAGAACAAGGCAGGCAGCGAAACTATTGTAATAGTGTCGAACGAAGCCTCCGGGACCGGTGGATGGAATTGGAATCCTGGAATGCACGGATGGACAAAACCGCCGGAAGAAATACTAAACCATGACGTTTTGAATGGTTGATATTCAGGCCAGCAGCAACCGAACCACCAAACGATGCAAGACATGGCTGGTCAATCATCCTCACAGTATTTGGATATCAATGATCGGCTGGACTTGCTTTGTAACATCAGGGCGGTATTGTTTTGTTTTATTTCTGCTTGAATTGAAAACTGGCCCATGCAGGAAACATCAACGTCTACAAATGAGGACTGAACTAACTACTTTTTTCCATCTCCCTTTGTACTAGTGAAAACCGAATTAGGCACAACTACTACTAGACACAATAATACAATGCCAGCGAACCGCCAATAACAATCTCTCACTTGAGAAACAGAAATAAACTAGGATCACAACATCATTCGACAACAACACCTAAGAAGGAATAAAAGGAATATAAGGAAATAAGAAGAATTACCATGAGTATAATTTGCTAATTCTCATCTACTATTTGTGTGGTGGGTATAACTACCGCCCCCCTCTTCGGTAGGGTAAAACAAAACCTCACCATCGCTTGACTTACAGCAGCACAAGTTGAGAAGTGCAGCGGAAGAGCCGGTTGGACGGGGACCCAATGGGGATGATCATCGTCTGGCGGTCATCCCCATCCAGTGCAACAGTCGGAGGTGGTACTTGCTCCTGATTCATGTTCGACGGGATGGGATTGGATCCATCCACCCACCCGTCATTCAGTCTGTTCATCCAGCTGGCTGAAGAAGTCCTGCTTTACCCACCTCACGCTGGTTCTCATCTACTCCGGACATACTACGGGATGATCCTCATCGGCGTAAAAATAGAAAAAAGAAAATTTGAAGAGAAAAACAGGGCGAGACTCACCCATGGAAGGGGAAGGGAGAACAGGGACAGCTAGGGCATCCTGATTGATAAGCCAAGCTGTTTATGAGTTACAAAAAGGAACATCTACATATGGAGTACATACATAGGGAGTATATCCCCTTACTACTTACTTCTTCACGAATTTACGATGCCGTAGATACCATCACGAGGCAAGGTGGTGAGCGAACTCTGATTGGCTGTGAGGGTTCCAACCCACGGGATCAGTCCGGGTGCTCAGATCGCAGTCCTTGTAGGGTCGGAAATTGGGGTTTAACAATCAAAACGAGATGTAAAAAGACAAAAACACATAACTTTGAGGGGTGTCGTATTCTCCCTCCTAGCATATTGCCGATGAGCGATCGATGATAGTGATGATGATGCTGATTCAGGAAATGACAACGACGAATAGTAACTAAGCTAAATAAGTGAAGGCGTGAGACAACTCCATCGTAACATGCCAGAGAATAGCCAGAGGCCAACCATCGGCCACAAATCCACTCATACTCATACTTAATACAGGCTCTTCCACACCACTCACTCATCTGCCGCTGGGGGAGCAGAAACGAACGCCCGATCTCGATACAACCGATGACCCCCTAGCTACCTGCGCCTCTTGATCCTCCATGCACTTGAGAACGGCCACATGTCCTGGCAGGATAGCCGACAAATCCGCTTGACTGGCGGAGTAGCTGCAGCAGTGCCGGTCTAGCAGAACGACTAGTAATCTGATTAGAGCAAGACAATTGTGGTTGCTTGGAATCCGAGATTGACTCCTGCCTAGTCGACTATCCCAGAGCTAACTCGGGCGAGTGGGAGCCGGTCTCAACACCAGTCTGCCTTAGCGCTTGTAGCTGCATTTACGGCCGACGAACCTGGCCTTGTCTCCACGCACGCGCCCTGCTCGATCCAACACCGTTGATAGTGAAAAGGGACAAGTCATTCCCGGGTAGCTTGTCGAGTTTATTCTCAATTTAATTTATCGTCCATCCGCGCACTGCTACCAGCCGTCTTGCATGCAGAAGCTCCAAGTGCGGAGTCGGAATCTGCGACAAGACACGGGATTCCGCCGGTGCCTCACTGCTCCCAGTGCGCGCACGCTCTGCGGTTTTCTCCCTCATTTCCCTCATTTTCCCCGTCTAACTCTCTGCCTTTTCTCCGTGGCTTCGCTGTCTCGTTGCTTTCTAAGCACTAGACTTCCACGGCCCCCGCTTGAGACATATCTCTGAAGTGTGGATGGTTGATGATGATGATAATATTAATGATGATCGAGATGGTGGTGATGATGGTGGTGGTGTTGGCAAAGTCTTATTTCTCCTTCACGTATCGCTACTGACCTCCGACCACAACGTGTCTGTCGGTCTGTACCGATGAGTATACTAAACTATCTACTAAACCACTGACCTCTTTCTCTCTCTCAAAACCCCCGGACAATCAATCACACGGTCAAACTCCATCCCATCCTCCCCAATCCCATCACAGTTGACCGCCGCACGGTTTTTGTACAGTAAGGCCTCCAACCACCACACCGGGACCACAAGAAGCAACGGGCGAGCATCAATGTTGATTGCACTGGTATCTGACAAGGGGATCAGACCACCGTAAGATGGTAAGACCTCTGGTGCCATCCTGTCGGTGTGACTAGCCATCCAGTCAGCCTTCCGGGTTGTGACCATGGCCATGGACAAGGATCGTAATCAACCGCGTCTCCTACCGCATGGGGAGAAGGTTGCCAAAACCGCATCAAATGGCCCGAGATGGCAGGCTACCAATGACTCTGGCTCCAGGAAGATTCTCGATCCAACTAAGAGGGGGCTTGCATATGCTACCTCGGAAGCCGCTCCGAAATCCATCCATCGTCCGTCCGCTCTCAGGATCCCTGATCGCTTGCTTATTCCGCCTTCCTTCCCCCTCCCTCTAACAAAGGTCGGTCTCTGTGCGCGCTCCCTGGCCGTTCCCTGGCCGGGGATACATGGTACATGGTACATATGCTACTAGCTATGGGGTGGTGGGTGGTGCTTTGTCAGGTGCCTCACTGCCGATAGTTAGGGTCACTACAGTAAGTAAGTATGGAAGGGGGCCCTTGTAGCCCACCAGGTCCGCAAAGCCTGGTTGCCTCGTCCGCTGTACGTACTTTGTCACGGCACTTGACACATCACGGAGCACAGAGTACCTGAATCTCACCTTTCTTTGTTTCATTCTCTTGCTTTCTTTTTCTCCCTCACTTTTTCTTCTCATTTTCTTTTTTCTCTTCCGTCCTTCTCCTCCCGCCATTCATGCAAGATGATATCGTTCCGATTCGTCCCAACAACTTTCTAGGCTAGGGTATCCGTCGTCAGTTACCGAGGACTTGTCGTGACTGTACGGTAGGAAGAGAGACCTGCACTTGCATTCCGCAACAGACGAATGCAGCATAAATCAGCGAAAAAGCAACTCAATAAATAAACCAAGATAAGGACATTTGGCAGCTGCGGATGTGGAGACTGACACTTCGCAGGGGATCTGGCCATTCTACTCTTGACAGTGTCAACTGTCACTGGAAACAGAGAGGAAGAGGGTACTATACTAGTAGTATGCATCTACCTCGGTGTATTCTCGGTTCATTGCAAAGGCAAAACGTCTTTACACACCGGTAACTGACACTTATCCCAGATCCCTGAAGGCACATTCAAAGAGTTACGGAGGGAAAAGCCCTGCAACTGCCTGTCGAACGGATGTGCTGTGCACATACTCCGCACACCCACCCGGATAAGCAATATAGATATCTTTTGTAGCTAGTCAGGTAGCTATTGCTACTATCTCCGTAGCATCACTATCTCTCATCTACATAGCTACCGTAGGTTCATTGAGAAAGCTCCGTAAGCAAGCCTAAAAAAGTCCGGCCAGGCCCTCCCGTCACTGATTCCACGAATAAGATGACTAGAGAAGCAAACACACAGCCGACCATGACAACTTGGACACATCCACAACTCACCATCTCACACACCGACCCAACTACGTACTACGACAGCTACTTACTAGTTACTACAGTAGTTACTAGTCAACTACCGTCCTGATCGGCATTCAATGCTCTCCCCGCGCCAATCCCCATCCCCTTCCGTCCCGATCGATAAGTAAACAAGAAAAAGAAAGCTCCAGTTTCCCCTTGTGCAACTTCAACAATCAAGTTCTTAGTCCCTATTGTTCCCACTTTTTAATCCCACATACTCCAATCCAGACTCTGGTTCATCACTCACTTCCAGTGTACCTAGAAAAGATATTAAGTAAGTATCTTTTCTACCTGATGACAATCCTATGCTGTGTTGTGTAAGTAGTACTCCGTATTTACCCCGAGAAATCTCGATTGGGTACCTATACCCTTTACCCCCCCTCCTCTCTCCCCGGTTTCACCGTGAGTTAGGTACCTACCTCTGCCTCACTTTCTGCTGCATCTCTTAGGTACCTAATACTTTCGAGTACCCAACATTTGCGCCCCATGGGATGTTCAATGTTCAAAAGTACTAACCTTTCTTCCTACCTACCTAGCTACTGGACAGGGTACATACAGTTGGGGTATGCAGACTGCCAACTTTCCTTACTGCCTGTCAGCTGCACGATGGAGAGTATAACCCGGTAGGTAAGTAAATAATTGATTGCTTTTTGTCTACTCCGTGCAGTGCATACATAGTTACTTTCCACACAAGATAGCGGATTTCTTCGGCCGAGTTTGTTTCGTCTTTGAGACATTGGCATTGGGATGGCTACTTACCTACCGACGGAGTATTTGCTTCGTGATGCACTTTGCTTGCAGCTGTCACTATGCCTACTGCCTACCTACGCAATTCTATCTGTGCTTCTGCTTTAGTGTCCATCCTGCCATCTGTAAGCACCCGATAATCACTGTCTAGAATCAACAATGACCTTTTCTTCTTTCTGTTGTCCATGTCAAACCATCCACACATCTCCAAACTAAACCAAGCACGTCGCACATCTGTGTACCCTCAAACCTCTCTCTCTTTCTTCCCCTCATTGTGGTCCCAACCAATCCATCCACTACCTTTCTTTCTTCCTTCCACAACATACATATCATCCCATCTCAACACATACATACATACATACAAAAGTCCATCCCAGCACTTAACAACAAACAACCACCACGCCACCCATGCGCACTCCCCAGTATATAACAACCCAAATTAAGTCCCAAAATAAAGTTTAGACAATCAATCAATCAATCAATCAATCAACGATGTACATAAGTGTCTAGTAGTCTACCCCAATACCAGGATACTCCCAGAACGCCTCGCCTCGCCTCACCTCCCCATACGTCTCAACTAAGTCCTGTACAGTACTTTCCATCAAAGGGAGGCGTCAAACATGCATACAATAGATACTACTACATAAGCAGTAGTAGTAGGTACATACGTATGATGCGTATGATGCAGTCAACCATTCCCCCCGGACGAATAGGACCCTTCTCTGGCGTGCGTTAGAGGTACAAGGACAGATACAAAGTATACTAAATACTTATGTACCTCAAAACAGATAGTAGAAGCAGTAGATTAGTCTAGACTCATCGACAGCCAGCAAGCAAGCAAGTGAGTAAGTTACTCAGCCCAGTGCAAGACATCTTAGCCAACTACCCACTACAGTAGGTGCTAAGGTACTTTCCATCCCACATGGTTGCAAAAGAAAACCAACCAAAACCCGAACCGGGATGTGTGAACCTGAACCTGAACATGACCTGTCACGACAACCGATTCAGGAGAGGGGTGAGTGGATTGTGGATTGTGGCGCCTCGGGATAACAGGGGTTTTAACTTGATTTATTATTGTCTAGGATGTGATGTGATGTGGTATTACTTAATTTGTGTGTGTGTGTGATCTGGTCAGACTGTGTTTTGTTTCCCGGGTGTTACTTACTTTACTTGAACAGACATCAGCTGGGGATAGCATGCATGGATTATAATATTATCTGTGTATCAGTCTGTGTGAGTCTGTGTATGTGTGAGTGTCAGAGTGAGTGAGTGACAAAAGTACCTCTTACTGTAGTGGATGTGGATGTGCCTGGGGAACGAAAAGTAATTGTGTGGCTTGGGGGGGCTTTGACTCCTACTTACTTGCTGTAGTTTAGTTGGAGGAATGAGCAAGAGTTCCATGTTCCATGGTCCGCTGCCCACACTACATTTCCCCCGGCCCTTTTGGTGATTTTAGTGTCTTGGTGGCTTACTGATGGGCTATCTAGATGCCGTGCGCATTGGTATTTCTATGATATCATTGTTTTGTTTTGGTCTGTAGGGTGTGATGATTGATTGATGGATGGATGGATGTTGTGTGTCATGATTTCATTCCTTATCCTTACTTCGTAACCCTGTGTGTGTGTTTCTCTAAAGTGTATGGGCTATGACGCAGAAATGGTTTAGTTGGATGAATGGATGGGACAATGCATTGCCCTCCCTAGACGCCTCCCAGGCCCAGCTTCGTTCCAGACCCTCCGCCGCCGCCTCTGCCTCGGTGTCCACCCCGCAGTCGGCGACCACCAGCGCGTAATCCTGCAGGCGGTTCATCTCCAAACCCGGGTTGGAACATGGGCCCTCCTCCTCTCATACCGTGCAGCTGTGCGGGATCTTCCCTGAATCCATCCCCGTCGTTCAACGTCGCTTGCCAGAGAGACCGCAATGATGCGTTCCACTCCTGGAGTGCCCGCAGCCGGTCCACGTCGCTAGCGCTCTCAACCTCCACAATCCCGTTTTCCTGGTCGATCTTGGCATTGAGCTTCTTGTCCAGGATCAGGAAGCTCAAGATGTCTTGTACCTCGGGTACCGAGACCCGGATGTGCTTCGAGATGAACTTGAGGGTGAATCGTGTGTACGGTGCGATTAATTTGAGAACAGCCTTCGTCCGCATGTTTCGGCTGACCTCGTCGATATTCTCGGCGATGAAGGGATCGGCCAGGACGTCCGGGTTTTTGCTAAGGATAGCTTCGTATGCGTGTATGTCGTCGCGTTGGAATGCATCGACTAGATCGGTCATAGCGGATATGCGGGGGTCGTTCTTGTACGGTTTGGTCTCTTGGGAATAAAATGGGTTGATATCCGATTTCATCAGCATCGTGGTCAACACGAGATACTTGAGCACCTGGATTCGCTGTATTGAGCCCGCCTCATCGTAGTTTCTGAATGACTCGAAAAAGTCGCTCTGCGCTTCCTCCCAATTCTCCTCACTCATGTGCATCTTTCCTCCGCATTCTCGGATGATACCCATGATCTTGGGGTGCGGCACCGCCGACCGGACTCGAAGGGCACGCTGGTAGAGCGCTTTTAGTCGCTTGTTGTTTTTCGTCTCGGCATACATCTGTATCTCTAGGGCGTATAGTTCGAGAAGATATGTTCCTTTGCTGGGATCGTCGGTTCCATCTTCCCGCTGGCATGCCCGGTGCAGCTCCCGCACCTTCTTGCTTAGCTGGCCGTACTCTTTCCGTTCCAGCCAAAGACGCGCCAACTTGATGTTTGTCTTCAACCATAGTCGCTCGTTGTTGGTATTTTGGAATGAGCGCAAAGTCAGAGAATAAAATTCCTCCATGCACTGGTAAGCTGTGTCATCGTCCGATCCCTTCTCGATATAATCTAGCATGTTGTTGATGGACTTTTCGGAGTAATTACGAGTGACGGCCGACTTGACGTAAGTGAGGAGCTCTCTGTAGTGTTCAACGGCCTGGAGAGTCAGTATCTTATCATCGTGGGCCAAGGGCGCAGTGACGCCTTACATCACTATATCTCCCAAGTTTGAATTCCAACTTGATAGCCTGCTTCAGTCCTTTGAACCCCCTGGGCTACCGTCAGCACCTTGTTTGAACCATCACTGACGAACACGGCCTCTTACCAGTCGCCTTTGTCTTGTTCTAGATCCGGAACACCCAGAAATTCATCGATGGCCTCCTCCGGGTTGTCTATCTTCATCTGTTTGGCATTATAGTATTTGTTTTCGATACCGACGTCTCCCGATTCATCATCGTCCGCATCCTCGTACTCGAAGTCGTACCTGCGATAGTTCAGCTGATTAGCGGCCGCGACCACCGGCGGGCTGAAGGGACAACATAGGCTTACTCCTCGTCACCCGAATCTTGCATGAAATCATCATCGTCAGACATTATGAACGGATTAAACCTCGCTGCGTTTTGGGTATCTAAAAGAATCAAAAACTGAGAGGCAAAAGAGGATCAACTGCGTGCTAGAAGACCGATGGAGATAAGAGATGGAAGGAGATGAAGGTGAGTGAGGAATGGAGAGCTTCCGCGCCTATCGGAGCCTGGGGCCAAAGTTCGAGGTTCCCCGCCTTTGTAGCTTCCTCGCCGGGCCCGACCGAGACTACATTCTACTCTACTATAGCAACAACCCACACTGGACTTGAGGCTTGTTTACTCCTGGGAATTGCCTGTCAGTAATTAATGGCTGATACATATGGCCTAGACATCTATTTGAGTTATCTTACACTGCACAGTCCAATGGCTCAGCCTCCGCAATGATTGTCGTCGGACAGAGGGCTTACTATTGGTACTACTATGCTTACTGTACTATATATAAGTTCAATTCACGTTCAATGACATGATCACCCACGACTATTCTAACTAATATTACTGCCTGTTAGTGGCTCAGGGACAGGAACATAGACTCTGACACATTTAGTCAGACCGATTCGAGCTAGACTTGCATGCAATGATTCTAAATATAAAGCCAATTTGAGCGATTGGCGCCTGTCACAGCCTGAATCTGCGTGCTAAATTGAACCCGACATCTACAACTAACCGCACCGCCTTAAGGCAGGAAGGGTATGCTCACTCATACTAACTACTGACCTGGCTAGTATAAGCAACACCCTCCGTGGTTTCAACATACACTGCCACTTTACTGTGGAGGGCACACTCTACCCACTGTCAGAACTAACCATCTTTGCGGGTGAATTTTTGCGAGGCGTGGCGAAGCGAACTGAGCGCTTCCCGACTTCCAGAGCGGCTCAGGTACTTGGCAGATGACGATCGTCTCTCATTTGCGGATCGCCCGTTGCAGGACGGAGCCGATGACATCGACCGGCCTCGCTGCACAGCGGCCCACGACTTATCTTCGTGTTCGCAACCACTTTTTTCTTCTAGCCAGATCAGTGCCTCGTGAAACGCTATTCATACCTATTAGCCCTTACTCCGCACACTTTATTCCTCTTCACTATCCCCTCATTCTGTTCGCCATTCTGCTCTTCGGTTGATCCCCTCCCCATCTAGCCCCTTCCCTCCCTTATCTACTTGGACCCTTCTTTCCGCGCATCTCGACGCATCCACCACTCCCAACTACCGTTACAATGAGTCTCTGTGGTCGCCAAAAAGTCGTTCGACGTAAGATGGTGCTATTGTCAGTTCCACCAAGCCTTGGCAGTTACATTTGATGGGCAGATTGCTGATTCCAGATAAGAGGGGACGGCGCTTGCGGCAAGACCTCCGCTCTAAATGTCTTCACCAGAGGGTGGGCACCCCTTGTATTTTTCTCTGTGGTCGAGACCGCTAACTTTCGGGTAGATACTTTCCTACGGTCTAGTGAGGATGACCTTTCTGAACGCTGATTTCTTGTTGCGATATTAATCTTTCCCACTTACATAGTGAGCCTACTGTATTCGGTACGCATGTTCTTCCTTGGCTTATGATGATCATCTTACTAACCGTTGTGCTTTCCAGAAAACTACGTGCATGGTACTTCCTTCTCCCTACATAAACCGGGCTCGCATGCTCACATTTACCTAAGATATCTTCGTGGACAATGTACACATGGAATTGTCGCTATGGGATACGGCCGGCCAGGAGGAATTTGACCGACTGCGCGCGCTATCATACGAGGACACACACGTGATTATGCTCTGTTTCAGCGTGAGGATTCCCGCTCCTCGAGGATTGGACAAGAGGTTGACTCCTTCTAGGTTGACAGTCGCGATTCGTTCGAGAACGTGGCGAGCAAATGGATTGAAGAGATCTCGGAGAACTGCGCCGGTGTCAAATTGGTGCTCACTGCCCTCAAGTGTGATCTGAGAAAGGATGAGTTCCTCAACGACAACCCGAACGCGATCACCTACGAAGAAGGACTGGCGAAAGCCAAGGAAATTGGCGCAGTGAAATACCTGGGTAAGGGCGACTCCCACCCCGTGATGTTATTCGCGTGATAGTTTCTGACTTCTTGACAGAGTGCTCCGCCGTGCAAAATCGTGGTATCATGGAAACATTCTACGAAGCTGCAAAGGTCGCCCTGGAAGTCAGAACTCAGGGCTCTAATGGATCCGGTGAACGGTGTGTCATTCTCTAGACATGCCGCTGGCCATCCTTCATGACTTGTCGACTATTGCATTGCTCTGTTCTTATACCCTTCTACCTGCTTGCTCTTCAGCCCATGAGCTGGATCATTTGCTGTGACCGTTCCGACCGGGGGAATGCCCTGGGTTTCCCATCACTGGCATCGAGCTATCATTTCCTGGGCGTTTTCAGCCTGTCATGCCTTGCTCTGTTCTCTTCTCTATATATACTTGTTGAACCCCTTGTTGTAATCCTGTATACCTAATGTTTGCTCTGGGGATACCTTCCAGAAAAGCGCGCCAGTCGGGACACACCCATGGCTGCTTATCTATATTCCATCATTCGCTCTGGTCGATCTCCGCATCGACCATTGGTATAGACTATGCAAATGTACCATTGATAATGAACACGCCGTATCTCGCGTACTCAAGAACCTCCTTTCAATCCCTGCCAACCGCACCCTCCCCGATTGTATAAAGTCTACAACCACTCACTCCATTTCCTCCCTCAACAAATCCTCCTCACTCACCCTATACACCTCCTCAATTCCCTCCCCCGTCGCCCCTTCCCCACAAGCAAAATCCCCATTCACTCTCCCAACAAACTTCCCCACAAACCTCCCAGCCACCTCCTCAATCTCCACCCCCTCCACCCCAAGCCCTTGTAAACTCGTCGTCTCCCTCCCCTCCAACCCACACGCCACAATCTGCCGAAACCACCACATCGGCTCCTCCGTCACATTCAACCCAATCCCATAACTACTAATATGTCTCCTAAGATGCACCCCCACCGCCGTAATCTTCTTCGGCAGCTCACTTTTACCCCCCTCAGACCCTCCATGTTGTTTCCGTCGTCCATGCACCCAAACCCCCGGATCCTCCGTAACCATCCCCCTCACCCCATACTCCCTCAACACATCAATCACACTATTCTCCAACAACCGTATATGACACCGGGGGGTGAGTCCCAGCCGTCGTAGATCCAGAATCGTGTATGCGACTAGTTGGCCCGGCCCGTGGTAGGTCGTTTGTCCGCCGCGCAGGGTGGGGTGGTATTCTGCTACCCGGGAGGTAGGGTCATAAGTAGAGTTGGGTTGAGGGGAGGTTAGGATCTGGCGGATTGGTTCGAGGCTGGGTGGGAGGGAGAGTGTGTTGGCATTGGCATTGTTGAGGGTGTTGGAGGGAGGGAGGTCGCGGCGTCCTGTTGTGTATACGGGATTCGGGCTGAAGGTTATTATAGTTGGGTCGGGGGGGTTCGGGGTGAGGTGCTTTTTATGGGAGAGGAGCCGGCTTGTCAGTGTTTGTTGGATGTTGGCGACCCGGCTGAAGGGGGTTATGTTGGGGAGGTGGAGGTGGGCGAGGCGCATTTTTGGTGCTGGTTTGGTTGGTTGGTTGGGTTCTTTTTGGGTGGTGGAGGTGGGATTGGGATTGGTGCGTGGTTAGGATGGGTGGTGTGTTTGCATTGTATTCTGGGGAAGGTGATTAGAGGAAGTAGGGAGTGTGGAATTGGGTTGAAGTTGTTAGATTAGATAGTTGGTGTGAATTTCTTGAGCTTGCGGTTTGATAAGATTGGACGTCACTCCCCCGGATTGTAGTGTCATGTGATGAGGAACGCAATTCCGATCTCGATTTCGTGCTTCCTTTCCCACACCCGGAGCTTAATTTGAGATTGAGTTTGCTTGTAGCATTCAATTTTCTATGTACTGCAGTGCATCCTTCCATATTGGTCCAGGAGCATGACTGCGAGATCGTGTCTGCAGAGATCTTCAGGAACCGCGTGCGCCGAAACCTTCCGATGACTGACTGGACCTAGGCAGTCTGCAACGCTCGCATATCTGCTTGCCTGCTTGCATTTTCCCAGGTTCGTTCTTCCACTAATAAAATTTGATATACAAACTAGTATAAATTTCAAGACACATTACTCGGGCGCAACGCCATTAACCATCGTTCCCTGCGTGCCCTCACCCTCCGATACCAACTGCCAATCCCTCACGCCACCCTTCCAGTCTGCAATGCGGCCCTCGCGCACCTGAACAGTCACGACGCGGACATCGCTGTCAATTGAGATACTGGGCCGTCTTTGACCGGGTTGCTGCTGCAACTGTTGTCCGAAAGTGCCCAGCTCTTCCTCGAAGGTGTTGTTCTCCAGATGCTGCTTCTTGCACCAGGCCTCCTCTTCAGAACCAGGTTCCAAGAAGCGCGCGGTACCGGCGATAGTTGTGGAGATACTGGAAAGGGCGCTTGTGTTCAGGTTCAACAACAGGCTCGCCAAAGAGGACCGTGTGGCTGCAGGCGGGGGAGACCCTTCGCGACCATCGGGGTTGGGAGCCCGGGTAGGCGGACGGTGCGAAACCCAGTCATGGACCAGAAGGGACACGCGAGGGTTGGTGAGCAGATGATTGGTTTTGCGAGAGGAAGGGTTGGTGGTCATGATAATTGTCGGATACGGGTCATAGGGAGTCGAGGGGAGGTAGGTGTAGGACATGAGCGAGATGTGCGGGGTCAAGCCATCACATGTTGCAAGATGAAGCTGGCAGCGTACAATATCAGTTTCCGATCACAATGACAGTATAAAGGTATAGAAATTGCAGTACTCACGAATCGAGAATTCTTCAGACATGAAATCACCTCCGTTGGGAGGGTAGTCCCGACATGCGGATGAGTAGTTGTGGCTGAGGCCTCGTACGAGAGGGGAGGGTTCATAGAATCCGCCATAGTGTAGGACACGGAGAAAATATGTTCAGGACCTAGGTAGGTAAAGAAGTGCTGGATGTCAAGTGTAGCAAGTGCGCTTGGACTCTGTCGAGTCAACGAGCTCTCAGGTAGGACAGTACACACAGTGAGTGGCAGTGGCAGTGGCGGGCCAGCTCAGCTGGAGGGGTGTGACCAGCAATCAGATGAGCTACCGGATTGGGGTCTACCAAACTAGTCCTGTTTAGTACTAGCCATCCGGGCCCGGATCACTGCGCGGCTCGCTTCTGATTACATAAGAGACAGCTCCGGTAACGACGTCATCGGTGCTGGGAGCTACGCTTGAGGCGGTGATGGATGCTGCGAGTATTTTTCAAGTCTCTACCGAAAACCCCGGTGAGTTAGAGGCAATTGATGAGCCGTTACCAATAGGGTTGAAGACCTTAATGAAGATAACCTCATTTCCGTTATCATGTCCGTAGCCGTGAACGCGGAGGAAAGGAAGCAAAAGACCGCTTTCGTCATGGTCTCGGAGATGCAGGGCCAGGCAACGAAGATCGGCCTAGACAAATGGAATGGACAAGTCATGAGGAATGTCTTTCTCGGGGACTACACATCATCCGCAGAAGAAAACAAGAGCTGTATCAGCACAATGGGATTAGTACACTAGGGCTGGGATTGGTGATCAGCCCTTATATAAGGCAGGCCCCAGCTCAAGTTACATTGGCAGTAGCCGAGAACAGAGAGAGAGAAAGCACAGCCCAGTTACGTTATTTAGCAGAATAGACAAGACAGGTCTTGTCTCTTCACAGGCTTGTTTCCCCGCACTTTTCCAGTTTGATGAGCAAGTGACGCCTTTTCCCCAGTTTCCCACTTGTGCCGTCCGGAAGTACCTTAACCACTCAACTACCTGCCTTTCCTTCCTCTCTCTCTCTTTTCCTCTCCTCTTCCCTCCCCAATCACTCTCCACACTCTCCCTCCATTGGCTCTATTCGATTGTCACCTAATATCCTACATACCCGTGGCTTATAACCGACAACCGTCATTGGGGATTATTACTTCTCCGCCCGATAATTCGACCTTCCTCTTCGCTGATCCTGGACTCTAAAGCTTGCGACCTGACTGGTTCCGTGGACTCCTCCTGCAGTGCGCCTTCCCTTCAGCCGTCGGTCAGGTCGTTGTAACGCATCGCGTGTCTACCTACCTCTCCCATCCCTGCCCTTACCTGCTGTCTCAGTTACTCTTTCTACATCTACTCATCTACTTCCCCTCTCCTCTCGGTAAACCCCTCTTCTCTTGTGTCGCCTTTCGCAGTCTAATCGCTGTCGTTGGGCTCCTCTTCTGTATTTGCTGTCAACCCGACACACGTCTATCGATCCTTCATTTACCTGTCCCCCTCCGTTTCTTGTCTGATTACCCTGTCCCTGCCTCTATTTTTGTGAAGATTCTCCCCTGTATCCCTTGCTTCAGCATCCGTTTCTGTATAGCTATAAGCTCTCTACGGAATCATGCTCGCCCCACGCTTGTTGCGGCCAGCGTCTTCGCTGGTTCGCCCCTTCAGTTCCACTGCCACTGCCTCCCGCGCCCCCTCTATCCGTGACATCACCCCCGACTCGGCTGCTGAGTTCAACGCACGTCAGAAGGAGTTTCGCGAGAACCTAGAGGTTGCTCGCAAGAAGAGAGAACAGCAAGAGAGTCAGTCTGTCGATGCTTCTGGTTCTACCTCTGCCCCATCCCCTGCATCCCGTGACCGCCTTCGTGAGTACGCTACCGCTCCCACTGCTCCAGGTGAGAGCAATGCGAGCAGTAACAAACATCCCGTTTTTGATGCCGCTGGAGTTCTTGATAATAAGGCTTTGGGCTCACTTTCTACCCACCGTATTATAGGAGACGAGCAGCTGCAGGAAGCCAGTCAGTCTCCGAAGCGCGGCCCCCTGTCGTCGCTCATCTACGGAACGAAGGAAGGCCAGCAGCTGGACAAAGATATCGAACGGTCATTCTCGCAGGTTCTCGCCCGTGGAAAATACGTACATTCTATCGTCTTTCACGACGTGAAGCCCGATAAAGTTGACGACTATGTGAACCTCGTCGGCCAGTGGTACCCTCGCATGGCTGCCGACCCTGAGAACCGGGTGAATTTGGTTGGCAGCTGGCGCACGCAGGTTGGAGATAATGACACCTTTGGTACTTGACTTCACGCGCCCATCCAGCCTTTCCAGTTGCGCCTCTGTTACGATGTATGCTAACAGCTATGCAGTTCACATCTGGGAATATCAGCGATATGAAGGATACCATGCTTCCCTCCACAACATTTCCTGCCACCCTGAATTCCCCGAATTTGACCGGCAGTTGAAGGGCTTGATCAAGAGCAAGAAGACGTCGCTGATGCAGGAATTCTCTTTCTGGCCCACGACGCCTCCACGGCGCCTGGGCGGTCTCTTTGAGCTCCGATCATACACTCTTCATCCCGGAAATCTTCTGGAGTGGGAAACACACTGGCGTCGTGGCCTCAAGGCCCGCCGGGAGGTGATGGAGGGGGTTGGAGCATGGTTCGTTCAAATTGGGGACCTGAACACTGTACACCATCTCTGGCAGTTTGCGAACCTCGAAGAGCGTAAAGTCCGCCGTGAGCAGTCCTGGGGTATCGAAGGCTGGGGGGAAACTGTCCACAAGACGGTGCCACTTATCCAGACCATGCAGAGTCGGATCCTGATTCCCATGCCCTGGAGTCCTGTTGGCTAAGCCGGTTCAGCTCGACGATCATCACATGGTCTTGATCACGGGGTGAGTTTTCCAGGACCCAGGCAGACGGAGCCAAGCCCGATTACTTGTGTTCCTCAACGGTCCGAGCGCCATGAACAGAGAGGGAATAAGTAGGAGGTATGGGGGATAAACAGGAGACCAATCAAGGATGGAGCGACTCAGCCCTGTCTACTGTTGCAGCGAATGCTGAATCATGAGGCCCTCGAGCCGTCTGGGGTAGTGTACACACTCGGCACGCTGTTCATTGTTCCTCTCACGAGCCGGCCTTGATGCCTTTTGTGTATCGTATCTAGCATTAGCATACCTATGTTCAAACTGACATCTTGTTGTATCTGTTATCCCCGTCTCCTGTCTATTTCCAGACTACGTATCTACCAAGTAGACGACCAGCTGCTGTAAACAAAGTTGATCCATGGCCCCGCTTGACTGTTCTAGCGTATCCTGCGCGACTCCGCTTTGTCGACGACTAAATTCATTTCCGTCATGGGCAGCTGCCTCGGTCGTCGCGCGACTCAGCAGACTGGTTGCTGGTGTGCTGGCGCCCCCCACCTGTCCCACGACGATCACAGACGGGCTTCCGTAGCAGGACTGGTTGTTGGAAATGAGGAGACGTGGGTGCGGTCTTGTCTCCTCCGTCCGAGGTAAACCAGCAAATGAAAAGCAGCACGGCACGTGGGTATTCCGCGGGAATCCACCTGGTCCTTCGATGCTGTGCGGTGGGATTCTTCGCAGCGACTAAAGTCGTTGAAAGTTCTTGGCTGTTGAAGAGAAGAGGGACCGCCTCGATACGGCTTCCTCACTGGCCTTTTTGGCTCCCCGCGTCCGCCCTCCCGTCTTTGCCTTTGACTTTTCCGCCGGCAGAAAAAAGTTACTAGAAAATTCAAGGCCAGCATCAACAAGCTGCACCCACTTCTTTCTTCCTCGCCGCGTCGCTTTTTCTTCTTATTCTCCCCACTCGCGCTACTTTATCTTCTTCTTCTTCTTTTCTTTTTTCTTCTTTTTCTTCTACACTTCTACTTCGACCGTGTCCTTTGATAAACTTCATCTTTAATCTTTGAGCAACCCTTTCTCCGCTCC